TCCAGATCTTCCTTATCTGGGTGGCATACGTTTTGAGAACTGATCTCCCAAATGACCTCAGCTTTCCTTCCTTGTGATTTTGTCTTGCTCTTGGGTACGGATGGATGAACCTGTCAATTTCATTTTCTCATTTTTTCCAATCTTAAATTCAGTTTTCCACATTTCCGCAGCACTTTGGGGGACTTTTTTATTAAAAAAAACCCAACACATGAAAATTTGTGTGCATTTTAATGCATTTTTTCTTACTAAACACATTTTTGCCTGCACTTTTGACTAATACACACATTTTTGCAACCAATTTCTCCTAAAGTAATGCATTTTTGTGTATCATTTTTATATGTGCTTTTAATGCACATAATTTAATGCCCTCTAATAATTTAATGCCCTCTAATAATTTAATGCCCAGATAATTTAATGCCCTCTAATAATTTAATGCCCACATAATCTAATGCCCTCTAATTTTTCGCTCTATAAGACGCACCAGACCACAAGACGCACCTAGTTTTTGGAGGAGGAAAACAAGAAAAAAAATATTCTGAATCTCAGAAGCCAGAACAGCAAGAGGGATCGCTGCGCAGTGAAAGCAGCAATCCCTCTTGCTGTTCTGGCTTCTGGGATAGCTGCACAGCCTGCATTCGCTCCATAAGACGCGCACACATTTCCCCTTACTTTTTAGGAGGGAAAAAGTGAGTCTTATATAGCAAAAAATACGGTAGTAATGTACTCTGATTAAAAAAATCAGAGAAGTACAACTTTCAAAGGATAATCCTGCAGATGTCCTCTGGCCCTCTCTTCTTCTGAGAGACTTCAAACCTTCAGGGACATGGAAACTCTTCTGTATGGAATAATTTCCTTCCTTTTTTTAATAGTTTCCTCTAAAAATAGAATGCTTGGATAAGGAGTTAATGTTATTCACATTGTTCCCAATCCAAAGGCATATGTGGGAAAGCTCTGTATGTGCAGTAGGGCTTCAAACCACCTTTATGGAAGCAGACCTTCTACTACCATTCAAAACTCATGAGAACTTCAGAAGTAGTCTCAGAAGAGAGATGCTGATCTTGGAGGAAAAACCTTGAAAAATCCTGGTGCAAGAGCGCAAGCTCTTGCAACTACTGAAATTATATCTTTGGGTTGTAATCTTTGGTGGCAATTATGAGGAGGAGTAGATACCTGCTTCTGGGGCTTTCTTTAAAATTAGACATATTCTCCAATATATGGGACCCCGTATTTTGGCATTGTAGCTATTAGGTTTTCTCAATGAAAAGGCATTGGTAAAGCCCCTATAATATACACAAGGACTACATTCAGGAAACTCAGAAACGATGGACATAAGAAATCAAACTATCGTCTATGTGTGTGGAAGATTTGCAAGAACTTATTTCTGTTTATTTCAAGGGGGAATCCATTGGAATGGCTACTAGATAATTTCTATAATTAAAGTATACAGAATTTGGGAAAACTGACATACATGGTGACAACTGTGTTACATGTGCAAAAGAGGAAGTGGGTGCATCGAGAGTTCTTAACTGAATGAATTTGTGGTTTACCTTGGTTCTTGCAGAGACAGCCGTCTATATGTATTGATCCAGCTGTGATATATCAGGTATGTTAAAGCACTGCTGCTGCAAAGCTTAGTGTGTAGTGTGTAGTGTTCACTTTGCACGGGGCTGCCCTTTCTCTAGTTCTAAAGTTAGATCTAGATCTTTTCAAGACCAGTATGAACACAAGGACAGAATCACAGTATACAGTACTTTGCATGAGATTCTCCTTTGATTGCTCTTTTTTGTGAATGACTCTTTATGCTTTTCCTATCTTATTACCTGGGACTCAGGTGGCGCTGTGGTCTAAACCACTGAGCCTAGAGCTTGCCAATCGGAAGGTCGGCGGTTCGAATCCCTGCGACGGGGTGAGCTCCCATTGCTAGCAGTTCAAAAGCACATCAAAGTGCAAGTAGATAAATAGGTACCACTCCAGCAGGAAGGTAAATGATGTTTCCGTGCGCTGTTCTGGTTTCACCAGAAGCGGCTTAGTAATGCTGGCCACCCAGAAAACTGTCTGCGGACAAATGTCAGCTCCCTTGGCCAGTAAAGCGAGATGAGCGCCACAACCCCAGAGTTGTTCGCGACTGGACTTAACTATCAGGGGTCCTTTACCTTTACCTTTTTATCTTATTACCGAAGTGCACTTTTGACAGGGTATTTCTTCCTAAACCTAGTCTGCTTAGTCTTGTTTCCTCTGAACTTTTTTAATCTTTTTGCAAATTTTAGCAGCTTGGGAGAAGACAAGATTTGCTCTACAGCGAAGTTTTGTAGTACTGTAAATCCCTGTTGCTTCTTAAAGATTCTTATACATGCTTATTTTCCAGAAAGAAAATGGCTGGAAGATCTAGCGGTTAGGCTGCCATCTTAAAACCATTCACTCTTTGCAAGTTCTTTTTGTTCTGCGGGAATTCCTCTTTGAGTTAATTGTCTCAAGATTGCTTCCTAAATTTTTATTACATAATGTACTTCATGCTCATTAGACATGTTTTGTGAGCAATCTACTCACAATTACTTACAGAATTGCTCATGGAAAGCATTTATGGATAATTCTGAGAAATGTATTCACTGGCATTTCATGAAAATAGAATCACTGTTCTTTGAATTAAATTAAATTACTGCTTATGAATGCTTAGTTGCCTTGTTAGAAAGGTGAGGTACAAATACCAAAAACCTAAACATTAATAACAATGATAAAAATAATAATCTGACTGGGCAATTTAGATTATTCTTCACCACTGCTTTTGTGTGTAACAGTTGTGCATTGGCTTTGTGGGATCTGTGTTGTGGTTTTGAGTTGTGCCAAACTGGAATAGCCATTTGCAGATATGTATAATAGTGTTTCAGTGCTTTACGCGTAACTTTGACTCTTTCTTTGCTTCCTGATGATGGGATAGAACATCAGAAATACCTTACTACTAGTAAATGAATATTGATACATCATTTATAGAACATAATAGTTTTATATTTTTAAGTTTTTTTTAATGCTACCCTTCATTATATTTTCCTCAGAACTATTTTTATTTGTTAGGGGGAATTTAAAAATGTGCAGCTTTACAATGCATGTATTTCCCAGAAAACAGAAGACGTAAAGATGCAGAGTGCTGTGATTTCGTCATTCCCTTCCTTTAAGTTTTCAAGTGGTTAGTTGTGCCTGATGTTGGAAGCGATCGTAGTTTCAATAAGTGCCTTTAATGTTGCTATCGTATCAGCTGCTGTTAAGGTTCATAGACTGAACTTTTAAGACCTCATGTTTGAAGGTTTGCTTTTTGTACAAAAAGCAGTAGCTCTTTGAATTCTCTCTCCATTTTGGTTCTCAACAAGGATGTCAGAAACTATTTACTGGGCCCATTTGGGGACTTTTTTCAGGACCTCTTTGGGTTCTGAGTTTACATGTAAGTGCTACAAGTTTGGTCCTGCAATGAATGTTGCTCCTGTTCAGGGTTCCAGCCATCCCCTTTCTAGGATACCCTTGTTGCAGAGTTAGTGATGTGCACCTACCCTGTGAGGTGCACAGGGTTATGGTTTCAACCCTTTAGTACTGCCACCACCCTGCTGACAAGCCTCCATCACAAGAAAGTGCACAGCCTTCTGACTCTTAGTCTGGGATAGGTATCCTGGGAAACAGCCAGCAGATTCTTTCCAGTCACCGCTGGAAGGAAATGTCTCTTCTCTTGATTTGCTGAGTGTTCTGTTCCAGGGAGTGGTTTCAGCCAGATGCAGTTCTAGATTGAACAGGCAGAGGTTTACTAGGCATGAGCAAGGGATCCAAGGCAAAATCAAGTTAGTCTAAGTTCAGGCTCTGGAAAGGCAGTGTCAAACAAGGCACAATTCCATTAAGGAACCGTAAAGCAGAGTTCAGGTTCCAATAAAGCAAAGCTGAGGAAAGCAGAGGCCAGATTATGATAAGGCAAAGTTCAAGTAAGGGAAGAAAAGGACTCTATATCCTGAGTTGCAGGATTTTTAAAATACCCCAATAATGGACTAGGTATGCCAAGAGGCACTGAGATGGTTCTCCATATTAGGAACCAATGAAATAAGTGTGGCAGAGTGGTGTCTTCCATTTGACCTGGTCCTATTCTATTTCCCCCCATGGTCTATTAATTCACTGGGCAATCCTGATCCGCCATGCTGGAAGGCTTTCAGCTGAGAGGGAGGTGTCCCACTGCCTAGTTCTGCCCAGCTGTGCTGAGCTCTGCTGCTAGGAGGCTCCATTGCTACTATGCCTGCCTAAATTGCAGGTGGACAGATGCTACTTCTGGCAGTATCCCTGCTGGTGGTAGCCAGAATATACCCCTGAAACAGGTTGTTTTGGAGGTGAGAGGGAATGGAGGTAGATGTGCCAAGGATCTGATGACAATGGGCTTGATCTGGACCTCTCTGCTGCACCAGCTGGCACAGCAAATACACCCACCCACCCACACCTAACACAAAAACACCCAACAGGATTTTCCTGCTCCTTCTTCCATCCATTCCATATTTAAATAAACTGTTTCCTTCTTAAACACATCAGGCAATGTTATTTCACTGGGATCATGAAGCTGGCAAAATGGGCAGCTTGTGAGGGCTCTAGAGGCTAGACCTACAATAGAAAGATAAAATACACACTTATATCCTTGCTTTGCTGATGATTTATGCAGTTTCACCCTGTGTGGTTTCTTGGCTTTAGAATCAAGGCAAGCTTTTGCCTACAATGTGTTTCAGATCAGAGCACCTTCTTTTATGAGTTGCCTGAATGCAAAGAAGCAGTATCCTTGTTTAGAAAACAAGGGTGGGGGGTCCACATTTTTTATTTTTATTTTTTTGGTTATACAATTATATGTGGGCATGTTCCAGTAAAATTTAGACCAAAAGCTGTCCCAGCTCCTTGTGCCAGCACTGTTCTTTTCCCTCTGTTGCTCTTGTATTGCACTTTATACTTTCAAATACTGCATACCAACACTTTTTTTCTTTCAAAATTAGGACACAAAAATAGCTTCACTAGAACGTAATATCAGAGACCTTGAAGATGAAATACAGATGTTGAAGACTAATGGAGTTCTGAACACAGAAGATCGAGAAGAAGAAATCAAACAAATAGAAGTTTACAAGAGTCACTCAAAGTTCATGAAAAACAAGGTATATTCTTCTAATCAAATGAGAGCACTATTTCAGTTCAGATTTTCTGAGGGTGGTGGTAATTTTACTGTCAACCTTTGATCCGAAGAGGGTGGTACTAAGAAAACCTTCCTGAAAAGTACGATAACTTTCAGGAGGTATATTGTTTTCACTGGTAATTTACCTTAGTGAGAGAAGTTTCTATGTTATATTCTGTGTGCATAGGCAACCTTTGTTAGAGCCATATCACACAAGCGTGAAAAACTTGTTCTAGTTTGAGGACATTCTTTGGGCAAAACATATTAAATTGCTGCAGAAAGAGGAAGTGCTTTTGTCCTCCTGACTAAAAATCAAGCATCCCTGTTATCATTTCTTTGCCATCTCACCATGCACTAGAAAAAGCAACTGTGGAATTGAAGACAATTGAGATCTCACATAATTCCACATGTGGCACATATATTCATTTGATGTGGACAATGGTAGGAATATTAGAAAGGTGTAACTCCGCTACACAGGTTAAGAATCCACTGGACTATAAAGACAACAAGTCAACATCAGGTAAGTCTGCTGAGTCACCTCTGAAATATTAGGCAGTCACAATTCAGGTAATGAGCTAAGGAAAAATATGTTTGATTTGCTTTACCTTCAGAGCAGTACTCCTCCAGAAAGCCACCACATGTTCGGGGTCATGTATAAATAGATTGGAGTTTTAGAAATGTAAAGCGGAAGTTACAATGATTTTGAGAGGGTGGGATGCAATAGATTCCTCTGCTCTTAAAGGGCAGATGGTTGAGCATGCCATTGTTTTGTCACAGCCGTCTGATCAACTTTTTGATAATCATGCTACATTCTGATGAAAGTCTGTTTAACCTGTGTCAACAGCCCTGTCCTTCCTCTGACAATTGAGATTTGCAGCAAAAGATACTACTTCTGCCATTCATCACAGGACCTTTCAAGGTGGAAAAAATATTTATATGGCTGTCAGCAAGGAGATCTTATTATACCCCATCTGTCGGACCTGAGATTGCTGATAAGGAACTGTGATAAATATAAGTCCTGAATGATGGCAACCAGGAGAACAAGGCCCCATTCACAGTCAACAACTCTAGGTGTTATAATGCTCTTTGGAGGAAACAAGATTAGATTTAAAGAGTATCTACATATATTTTAATTTAAATGAAAAAGGCACACATGACTGCTAAAAGCAGACAATTGTGGAAGGTTGATTATTTTTCTTGAAGTCTATGCTTTAAAAAGCAAAGTTTAAAGTTGCTCAGCACAAACACACGCACACACACACACGATTTATTTGCCTTTATTTTGGTAGGCATTTATCCACTCTTGAGGGGCTCCTAGGCTAGTAGCCAAAACTTTCAAAAAGAAAAAGGTTATAATTTTAAAAAATATATATGTAATAGGAAATGGGACAGGCACAAAGCATAATTTGTTTGAATTGGGAATTGGATCCTGAGCCAAATCAAGACAGCCTCCAAGCACATTAGAATCATAGAAGTGTAGAATTGGAAGGGGTCCCAAAGGTCATCTAGTCCAATCACCTATAATGCAGGAATCTCAGCTAAAGTATCCATGACAGATGCCCATCCAACCTCTGCTTAAAAACCCCAATGAAGGAGAGTCCACAACCTCCCGAGGGAGCCCATTTCACTGCTGAACAACTCTTACTGTCAGAAAGTTATTCCTGATGTTTAGTTGGAATCTCCTTTCTTGTAACATGAATCCATTGGTTCGAGTCCTGCCCTGTGGAGCAAGAGGAAACAAGCCTGCTCCATCTTCCATGTGACAGCCCTCAAGATATTTGAAGATGGCTGTCATATTTTCCCTCAGTCTCCTCTTTTCCAGGCTAAACATACCTAGCTCTTTCAACCATTCTTCAACAGGATTCATCTCCAGACCCTTGATCATCTTGGTTGCTCTCCTCTGTACATGTACCAACTTGTCAGTATCGTTAAATTGTGGTGCCCAGAACTAGGCGCGCTATTCCAGGTGTGGTCTGACCAAGGCAGTACTAAGCTGTACTATTACTTCTCTTGATCTGGACACTATAGTTCCGTTGATGCAGCCTAGAATAGGCTCCTGCATCACACTGTTGACTCATGTTAAGCCTGTGATATACTAAGACCCCTAAATCCTTTTCATGCACTGCTGGTAAGCCAGGAGACCCCTATCTTATATTTGTGCATCTGGTTCTTCCTGCCTTACATTTGTTCCTACTGAAATTCATTTTGTTGGCTTGGGCCCAGTTCTTCAGTCTGTTAAGGTCATTTTGAATCCTGATTGTCTTTTTGGCATTTGCTACCCTTCCCAGTTTGGTGTCATCTGCAAATTTGATCCCCTCATTTTGTTCATCCAAGTAGTTTATAAAGACGTTGAACAACAGTGGGCCCACGACAGAACCCTGTGGCACCCCACTTGTCACTTTTTCCAGAATGACAAGGAACCATTAATGAGCACTCTATGGGTTTGGTCAGTCAGTCCACTTAACAGTTACCTCATCTAGCTCACATTTTTCCAGCTTCCTCACAAGTATATCATGGGGGACTTTGTCAAAAGCCTTACTGAAATCAAGATACACAAGCTGATCCATCAATCTTGTAATTTTATCAGAGAGAGAGAGAGAGAGAGAGAGAGAGAGAGAGAGAGAGATTCGTTTGGCATGGCTTGTTTTTGAGAAACCCATGCTGGGTCTTAGTAATCAGCACCCTTTTGTAAGTTCTCACAGACCTACTGTTGAATTCTGTTCTAGGACCTTTCCTGGTATCAGTGTCAAGCTCACCGGTCAGTAGTTACCTGGGTCTTCTCCCCCCCCCTTTTGAAGATGGGGATATTTGTCTGCCTCCAGTCTGCAGGGACTTCACATGTTCTCCAATAATTCTCAAAAATTATAGACTGAGATTGCAAGCTTCTTTAGTACCCTTTGGTGCAACTCATCAGGCCCTAGAAATTTAAATTCAAGTAAAGTAAAGTAAAGTAAAGTAAAGTAAAGTAAAGTAAAGTAAAGTAAAGTAAAGTAGCTAGGTGTTCCTTTACCACCTGTTTTTCTGCTTTGGCAGTATCCTGCTATATTGTGGTCAAGGCACATACTCCTAATAAAAATGACTGCCCATTCAGCATGAGAACATCTTTTGATTGGTCTTTCATCATGTAGCCAGATTTCAGTCTGCAAGCTGACACTGAACTGAAAAAAGATGAATTTTATTTTACAGTGGTACCTCGGGTTACAAACACCTCGGGTTACAAACACTTCGGGTTATAGACTCCGTTAACCTGGAAGTAGTACCTCGGGTTAAAACTTTGCCCCAGGATGAGAACAGAAATCGTGCTGCGGCAGCAGTGGGAGGCCCCATTAGCTAAAGTGGTACCTCAGGTTAAGAACGGTTTCAGGTTAAGAACGGACCTCCAGAACAAATTAAGTTCGTAACCAGAGGTTCCACTGTATTTTATTTTTTATTTTGCCAGCCCAAACCCAGTCTTTCCCCTAAGAAATATGATATACTTTGCTTTATAAAAAGAGGTCCAGCCTTATGTCTTGTTTCAACCATAAAATAGTTCACCAGAGAAGATCTAGTTATTTTTTATATGTGCATGGCAAAACTCTCTACTTGTTTGCAAATCATGTAGCTGGAGTTGCTTGCTAGTGAGTACAAATACATAGCATATCTATAACCCAAATGACACCATGTTCTTTGACTGATTGTTTATCAGGTGTTGCTTGTATGATGGATAAAATTGTGAAGATCTTTCAGTAGAGATTTGGTTCTGGAATAGCCATATGGGACTCATATAAAACACATGCTGTTCTGCATACTGGCTTCAACTTGACATTGTACTGTGTGGAATTTCACTCACCTTATTTTGATATTTTGGTTTTGGCTATATATCTGCACTTACTGGTGGTTTTATGGCATATACATGGAAGATGTTTGCCATTCTCCCAAAAAGATCTTTAAAAAAATTAACATGATCTTGAGTAAGTTGAATATTATGTTTTAATTTTGTCCTTGAATGGGTTTTCTTCTAAACTCCTCTCTTATTTGCATTGAGATAATGCATAATTTGCTATTCCTTCTTCCTTTGCTTAGCTTGCAATCCTTTTAGATTCCTTTTAGATTGTAATTTATACCTGCCTTATTTTGCTTAAAGTCTCCATGGAATACCAGCCAATTTTCAGCGCTTGCTATATTATAAATGCTAATTCTTATAATAAAAGGAGGCCAGAAAATGGTTCAGTTAAAACAGGGATGGTGAACCTGTAGCCCCCCCTCCCAATATGTTGTTAGACTCCATCAGCCCCAGCCAGCATGGCCAAAGGTCAGAGATTATGGGACACAGGTTCCCTATTCCTGAATTAGAATAACAAATCTAATGTAGAAAGAGGAGTTTGCATTCTTCTTTAAATATTCCACATGTGCAAGTATTTGTAATTGTGTAAGATGCCTTTTGGATTTGATTCTACAGGAATTGATATCATATGGGGAAATGAAACAAAGCAGAGTGGGACATGCAAGAAATATTTGCTTGCAACATGTGACTCTGCAATATTATAGCTGATAAATGTACTTTTATTAATCTGGAGCATGTGGGCCGAGCATTGTAAACTTGTGATCAAAATCCAGGTTTTATTGGCTGCTACTCCAGTTTTAAATCTTTCTTTCTCCTCTTCTGTACCGTAGTTATGGGATAAACCAAATCCCACCATTGGAGAAGGTGGCTTAGTGCTTATGGGATGAATCCATGGCAAAGTGGCTTTCATGAAACGATGTAACGTTTAGACAGCACATGTGGCTCGCAATCACCTACATTTCTGTCCAACGCTTGTCCAGCAATATCAATCACATGTGGAAAGAAATAAATGTACTTTATATTGCATATGTAGATAAATGTTACTCAGGAAGCAAAGTGGTGTGGGAACTGCTGGATTAAATTGTTGTACTTAAAAATACTACTACTACTACTAATGCATATATATGTATATCTGCAGATTGACCAGTTGAAGCAGGAGCTTTCAAAGAAAGAATCAGAACTTCTTGCCTTACAAACTAAGCTTGAAACCCTTAGCAATCAGAATTCAGATTGCAAGCAACACATTGAAGTGCTTAAAGAGTCACTTACTGCCAAAGAACAGAGAGCTGCCATACTTCAGACAGAGGTAAGGTATTTTATTAGCATCTAATGCAGTATAAATGTTTAGTTAATGGAGTGTGTCAGAATTAAGAATGATGTATTGGTTACAAATCTGTGCAGAGGACGAAACTTGACCTTTGAAAAATTCGTTACGAAGTTGTACAATAGCTTGTGCTATTAGCTGATGCCAGACCAGCCCTATATATAATACTTGTGTACTGTCTTCTGGTTTTGATAGCAGGTGGCCCTTTGCTGGAATGGGAAGGTTCTAGCAGGAAACCCAAACTAAGTGTATGCATTTAGAATTTAATCCGTCCCCTTGCTGCTAGTATTCTGTTCAGTTGCTTCCATTTATCTCTTTTATAAGGCTGTCTTAGTTGTGCATTTTGACTTGGCACACAGTTCAGACGAATATACACATTTGTATAAAGAAAATAATCACTTGACTGTCAGGAAAAAATGTGTGAAGGGAGCAGTGCAGATCTCTGCAAGTTAGAGCCAAATGATACGTTATGTGGGAGATATGTGCAGTTACTCCTGAGTTTTTAAAAATCGCAGTGCAGCTAATACGGGATGGTGAGGTGAAAGAGCTCTGAATTTGTTGTGGGGTGGGGTGAAGGGCTTGCTTATTGTCCTGCTCTCTGTGTCCACAGTCCAAAGTGTGGGGGGGAATAGGTGGAACTCATTAGTTTTCATACCAAGGGTGGAAAAGTAATAATAATAATAATTTATTATTTATACCCCGCCCATCTGGTTGGGCTTCCCCAGCCACTCTGGGCAGCTTCCAAAAAAATATTAAAATACTGTAATACACCAAACATTAAAAGCTTCCGTAAACAGGGCTGCCTTCAGATGTCTTCTAAAAGTCTGGTAGTTGTTGTTCTCTTTGACATCTGGTGGGAGGGCGTTCCACAGGGAGGGCGCCACTACCGAGAAGGCCCTCTGCCTGGTTCCCTGTAACTTGGCTTCTCGCAGTGAGGGAACCGCCAGAAGGCCCTCTGCGTTGGACCTCAGTGTCTGGGTAGAACGATGGGGGTGGAGACACTCCTTCAGGTATACTGGACCGAGGCCGTTTAAGGCTTTAAAGGTCAACACTAGCACTTTGAATTGTGCTCGGAAACGTACTGGGAGCCAATGTAGGTCTTTCAAGACCGGTGTTATATGGTCTCGGCGGCCGCTCCCAGTCACCAGTCTGGCTGCCACGTTCTGGATTAGTAACAGGGAAGTAACATAGGGAAGGCAGTTTTGAAAAGAAAAATGCCCCCACAATCAAATTTGAAACTCCTCATGGCTATATTAAAGCCTTAAAAACGCACAACTGTTAATAGCGTGCCTTCCCTTTCATTTGGCCCTTATAATCCCACCTGATAAAATGAACGCATCAGTATTTAACCCATTTTTAGTTTTTCCTAGGTGGGTGAAGGAGAATGTTCTGTTGCCTATTGTGTATAATACTGCATCCTCTTTCAAATAAAGGAATAGTAAATAAAATCTAGAGATTATAAATCTACCATCACTGGAGAATAATATCCGTAGTTCAAAATGTAGGCATATTTTTAACTTCATAATAAAGGCAAAAGAGAGGTGAGCTTTCAAGGTTGCCTTATCTTTAAGCCTGCAATATTTAAATTGCTATGCTTTAAACGGAGCCTGTGGTCCTCCAGAGATCGCGAGACTCTAACTTTTCTCAGTCCTTGCCAGCATGGCTGGTGATCAGGGTGATGGGAGCTGCGAGTCCTTCAACATCTGGAGGGCCCATCCCTGCTTTAGACTTTAAAGTTCGAAGCCTTTTGTGAAGATTCATATTATTGTAAGATATGAAAGCAGTTGCTTGTGGAATGCAAGAAATAGAAGGCAGATTAGGTAGAATTTTGGTCACAGACTACCATAACAAAAGATTGGGAATACTCTGATGGATGCTGTCTTTCAGCAATCAAGTTGCTATTGAGAATGATGAACAACTAGTATGGAAATGAAAGCAAATTGTTTGCAGAGCAATAGGGGAAGGAGGATGTATCTTAATTCATTATTCAAGTCAGGGCCTGGCATCCTACCTAGCAGAAAGGATGTCTATAACTATTAACTCCTGATACAAAGGGTTAAATGATAAGATGAGAGTGGTCCTGTGGAACGCCCTCCCACCAGATGTCAAAGAAATAAACAACTACCTGACGTTTAGAAGACATCTGAAGGCAGCCCTGTTTAGGGAAGTTTTTAATGACTGATGTTTTAATGTATTTTAATCTTTTGTTGGAAGCCGTGCCAGTTGGATGGGGTATAAATAAATTGTTGTTGTTGTTGTTGTTGTTGTTGTTGTTGCTGTTATTGGATGTGGTAAATCACACCCTATTTTGGTGGTTTGGGCGGATGATACACCTTTGAACTCCACAATTACATTAAACAAAATTGTGTTTTTGAGCTACATGTTCTTTAAAAACAACTTTTATCCAGTTAATTCATGGTTGCCATTAATCTGATTTGAACTGATTTTATAATGAAATGATTTTAGAATGTTGTATCATTTTACTGTTGTTAGCCGCTCTGAGCCCGGTTTGGCTGGGGAGAGCGGGATATAAATAAAATTTTATTATTATTATTTATTATTATATGCCTTTGTTCTCAAAGGGCTCCTTGCTCCAACAAAAGCTTCCATGAATGGAAGGGGAGGGAAGTGATTTTTTGCACATCCTCCCTTTCTCCTGTGGCCTCTGTCCCACAGCACCTGCCATGATGTTCCAGAGGTCTTCCAACCCTCTCAAGCAGATTTTAGTGGCGAAGCAAAGGGGACTTAGAGTGAATTTGTGACTCTTCCCATTCCATTTAAAGATCCCTCAGTTGGATCAACAGCCTTCCATGAGTGAAGGAACACAATTGGATGAGACACAGTGTTGCTTAACTCATAACAAGAATTATTGCAGTGTTAACAACATCATATTATATTGATGATAATTCATAATATTTTTATAATAATCCTGGTATTATGATAACCAAGCCTAGTGCAAAAGTTTGTAGTCTACGTACAGCAACTTACATTACATTTTGAACAATTTAAGTCACACTTAAGTAATTAAATGACCTGATAAATGGATGTAGCTTTGAAGCACAGCATGCTCCTTTATGCGTTCCATGGAGCGCTAGGTGATTGCCATCCTATGCTTTGAAGTAAGTCGTGTGAGACTAATGATTTTATCAGACAGCATCACAAAGAGCTTTCTTTATTTTCTATCTTTAAGACTCCTTTGTAAAAGGAAATGGAGAAAGTTTCTTAATGATGTCCACTTCTTGCAGGAAGCAATTTGGTTAAAATTAGCTGTAATTGTTCATGTGCAAGAGCTTTTTGGCAGCAGAACTGAATACATTAAAGGCACCTTTTTCTGAGGGATCAGATGGAAATGAGAGCCTCCATATGCCTAATAGGTTAATAGGACACTTAGGCTTAATTCACTAGTGCTTATTTCAGAGGAGAGTAGAACTCCAGCATAAACCAAGTACATGGCTGAATCTAGTGTGTTTCTAGAGGAATTTCTCGGTTTTCTGAATCTTTATTAGTAAATGATCATAAATCCCAGAGAAGGAGCCTGTTTTGTTGTCTGTAAAATAATTTTGCACCATCTCTTTTGCCACATGAAGCAATGGATACATTTTCAGAAGCAAAATTCATATTTGAATCAGCATATTTTCATTTATTCCCTGTGTTTTTCATTTATGAATATTTTGGTTTAAAATAACCTGCATAAAGAAGGTTTGCCCTGACCTGACCTGACTGGGCTATAAATGATTTCAGGTTTGCCTTTGATAAACAGCTATCATGGAAAAAACACTATAGATAAAGCATTCGCAGCATCTGATGTTATTTCTTAAATACAACAGAATCTGTGAAATGCCTCCACTGAAAGGTACTGTAAGTTGCAAAGTGTTGAATATTTGATATTCATGCATGTGTGAATCATCCCTAAGACATGGAGGCTGATGAGGACATTATACCTCTTGTTCCTCTCCTCATGATATGCTTATAAAACCCACACCCCTTGCAGCAAACTGAAAACCAACCATATGCACTATACACTTTTGAGTATATTCCTCTGTATAAAAGTGTTGGTGCTCATTATAATTTAAATCAATATTTATTTTAGTTTGTAGTGATGCTGATTTTGCCAAGATCATTGGTATTGCTAATTAGTTACCTCTCCCCCATCTAAAATACAAGCTTTTGTACTGAAGCAAATACCATATATTTTGAAACATAATCCCACAGTTCCTCTATAGGTGACATATTGAGGCCCAAAGGAGGATCTTTTACTAGTGAAAATGATTATTCGGAAGCATAGACTTAAATGATGGGTTTTCGTGGAGTTGTCTGATATACACTCAACTATGTACCTAGAATGATTTTGATTGAACCTGTAGGTTGCCTGTTATATATCAAGGCTGTGCTAGACAGACAGTCATGCTGTTGTCATGACAATTTCCTCATATTTTCTTGTCATTGCAATCTTGCTGTTCCCACTATGTGTGTGACATCTGTCACTTTTGAGAGAAAGGGAGACAGAGAGAAAGTTAATTACAGGCATGCTTGTGACTGAAAGAAGGAAGGTGCAAGGCAGTAAATTCACGAGGAAGAGAGGTGGATGAACTGTGAGGTCAAAAGCATGCTGATTTATTCCACAGAGAGACATGGCTTAATGATAAGGAAATCCTACCTCTAGAAACAGAAGTATAATGACTGTTTTGAATTAACTGCAGCTCAACTTGTGACGTGCACCTTGGTAGCCTTTGAGAGCACTATAGGAGTACTATATACATTACTGTATAAATTGTCTTAAGTGGTAAGCTACAGTAAGGCAACTATGAGAGTTAGATATGGTTAATGGAAACATAATTATACCTAGGAGTTGGACTCTGTTCCTGTTTGCAACCTTCAAGAAAGTTTGAAAAATATAAGACATGAAAAGATGAAAAGTTGAAAATCCGCTACTCTACCAATAATTTGTTTCTTTAATTAAAAATGTATGTATGATGTTAGCC